TGTCGATCCTTCGGTACCTAAATCCGTTCACGAGTAGGTGTTTTCTTGCGGTAGATCTAGACATGGTGACGCCGAGTTGTTCGTGAAGAGCATCCGTGATGGTGTCCAGAGTAACATGTTTTCCGTCGATGTACATTTGGTGTACCATTCTCCTCATCGCGCAAAAATCGAACGGATCTAGATCCACCTTTGGTCTTGCTGCAGCTGGTCGGGATCGGCTTGGCGACTTCAGTCTGCCACCATTCTGGGCTTCACGTTGTATGCGGTAGGCTGTAGTCTTCCCAATGCCCGTTACAGCTGCTGTTCTTAATAATGGACTCTCCCGGACGGCGTCGTCGTCTCCCGCCTTCAACTTCATGTCCCGGTCTTCGACAAAATGTTGATACACATTATAAACAAGTTCCCTACTTTGTGCCCCAAGAATCCTTCCAGACGCTAGATTAGATTTTTCACTCATTGGTAAGTAGGTACTAAAACATATAAAAGATATAAAAAGACAATGAAATATACGAGTAAAACAATATAAAAACTTTTCACTGCGTAAAATATTACCGCAACACGAAAGTGATGCCGGTCATGATGCCGGTAATTTTTGGGCTACAGCACACTCGAATAATGACCCACGCGCAAAAAACCGTGCAAAATCGTTGGCAGCACTTTAATTCCGGTCTTTCTTACGATAAACAGAGCATAGTTATAAAGCTGCTTTCAAAATTAGCACAAAGTTTGTGATTGCCATTTCTAATTAGCAAACACAACATTTTTCATCCTGAATTAAAGCTTGCCAAATTTCAGTTAGGAACCAGAGGATAATGCACAGTACAGATGTTGTACGTTCCTACACTCTGATCTGAAATCAGCGAAGGATGGTCTTCTACCTGTAAAATCAAGGGAATGGTCCTGTTTTCCATCGTCAACCGTCACAACAATATACTCATTCATACCTGATCCCTCATTCACTACTACTGGAACTGCTCTAAGCGTGCTTTTGCTGAGGTTATATGAAGTAAACACCAATGTCGTCTTGTTTCACATGCGCATTGTATGGCGCACACAAATTCCCAGGTATGTCATCAACAACTATTTCCACGCAACACACAGCTCGTGATAATTTTGTTTCCAACTTAAGTCGTCCTGGAATGCCGTTAATGTGGCGGACATCACTAATTTCTACCCCGCGCGGAAACCTGTTTTCATTCCAAACCCATCATAGTGTCCTGATAGCATACCCTGTTGGAAACACTTAGGTTGAACTATGTCTTGTTCAGGTGTTCAGAGTTCAGTTCAGCTCAGTTTAGTTCGTTGCTGACTGGAAGACGTGGGTCGTGTGACGTGTATTTTTACTGGGATTGTTTGTAAGTTTTTTTAGAAATGCAACTGAAATTGGCGATACTTATTAAGTTCAGGCAAATAGATTAGGTCGTACTATTTTTATGACTTATGCCAGCTTATTGCTATTTCAAGAACTGCAATCCGATGTGAAATTGCTGCCATATCTTATTTTGTTGCCGACGGTATGGTTAGTACTGGGAAACGGTGATGATATTACCTCCAAGTGAATGCACCTGGCTTGCATCTGGCAGGTAAAGATTGCTAGATGTCAGGTTAAGTGTAGTCAAGCCCACACCGCACGCTATCTAAATGTTTTGGTCATAGATGCCAGACAGAATATGCTATTCTTATAGCTGAGATCTGAGAGAGTTGGTTAGTAACGGGTCACAGGCATGGTATTGTTTGCTGCATTGCACTTAGTAGGTTCAAACTACATGCTTGCTTCTGAGTTATTTATGTCTTTTTTCTTTGCTATATATGAATATATATATATATATATATATATATATATATATATATATATATATGGTGTGTGTGTGTAATTGGAAATACTTATTAAGTTCAGGTAAAATAAGGTCATCCTATTTTTATGACTTATGCTAACTTATTGGTATTTTCCGAACTGTAATCCGGTGTGAAATTGTTGACGTATCAGGCTGGTTAGACAATCTTAGTACTGGTTGGTACTGGTACACGTAGAAGCCATCACACTACAAAATGACGACATAAGACCGGACATTTGCTGCCCCTACGTAGACGATATCTTTGTGGAAGTTAGGGACATTGACCAATTCGGACGTCTCAAAAACACCTTTGAAGAGCAGTCTGGCTTAAAATTCACAACAGAGCTAAGTGTACGATATATACTAACCCTCTCTCGACGTGACTGTTGATGGACAAGAACAACGATTCAAAACGACTGCATACCGAAGATACTAACAACGGACCGTGCTTAAATGCTGACAGTGGGTGTCCTCGGCGCTACAAAATTAGCGTCACAAGGTCCTTCATTAGACGTGCATTTAAGCACTGCTCTAATTGGACAGGAGTACATTCAGAGTTCATAAGAATCAGACAGGTTTTGGTGAACACCGGTTTTTCAAACTCTGACGTTGAAAATGAAATACAACGACGTATGGCAAGACACTTTAACAGCACGCCAAGACAAGACATCCAACCAAACGTCAAACTGTATTATCAAAATCAAATGACATCTGCCCACAAACAAGACGAAAAAGCTTTACGAGAAATTATCTTTCGACATGTAACAGGAAAAGACAGCCACAAAATAGACATCGTCATTTACTATTGTAATCAGAAAATATCGTACTTTCTTATGAGAAACGGCCCACACAAACCCGACAAGCTTAAGTACACCAATGGAGCGCATCAATTCAATTGCGACATCGAAGGCTGCAAACTTCGTTGCATACACTACATTGATGTGACCACAACGGCACTTTCACAGCACTCATCATTTCTTGTACTCAATTCGAATAAATTGCTGCCAGGGATCGCAACAGACATGTTCCGGAGGTCTTTTATAGGTCCGAGTATTGCAGTGATCTAAGATGGCCAAGGTCAACGTTTAGTTTTTCGCAACATATCGCCTAGCGTAATTCCTGACGTTTATTCGAAGGGCAAAATAGGAGTAATCGCGTAGGTTTGTAAGTTTGTGGTAACCTTGACCTTCTAAAGGTTAAAAAAGGTCGGTAACCTTAAATCAACACCATTTAACTTTTTCTCAAAGTATCTACCATTTACCTTTTGCTTATCTTATCAGGCTCACGCCGATTCAATTGGTAAGTTTGGGGGCAGTTCGGACAGCAATCTGCAGTTTGACCTTGTTTGACCTCATTTGGTCCTAAGGTCATGACCAAAGGACATACAATTTTAACGCAAATGAGTTTACATATAGGTCAAACCACTCTGTAAATTTTTTATCTCTAGCCGTCTTAGCTCCGAGATCTCAATGTATTTGGGATGTGGGTAGATTGCCCCCCCCCCCCCCCCCAATTGACCACAACCAGCCAACCGGGTGTGTGTTAAGATTGAGGTTATAGAGGTTATCGACTTCAAAGCAGCGTGCATCAGTGTGCATATTGTATTCAACCTTTCTAAGGATGTGTTATGAGTTTGTAACAGGTCACATTTCAAATTTTTATGACTTCTGTAAAACAGTAGTTCCATTGATATCTAGGTTAGGTCTCAGTATTTTCCAGCCATCTTCAATGGAATGTACATAAATGAATCGAGTAGGCATGCCTGAAGTCAGCGAACACAAGCGCTTACGCTTTCAGGTGACTCGCACATCGCTGCTTGCTGACGCCGTTGTTGCTAAGATATGTCCTTACTCAAGTCGCATGGAGGTAAAATAGGGCTCTGCACCTTGAACTCCCTAGCAGACCAATCCATACATCAAATGCTGGAATCCCAAGGGGAGATGGGAGGGGAATCCAAGCGTGTCTGTGGGTTTGTCCTGAAACTAACCGAAACGCACCGATATCCCCTACCCAACGCGACCTTATAGCCACATTTTACGCTTGATTGCCTACAGCATTTGAATCATGAGAAAGCTTGAATACGAACCTTCGTTTACCCTAATTCACAGCTTTCTGGCATCTTTTGAGCCCGGGTCCGTGTCTGAGTTCTGGTGTGTTGCATCTGAGTCCAAGTGTATGACTTCCAAACAGGCGAGCGAGTCCAAGTCGGATGCATCTCTTCCTTTTCTAATGTATCCACTTGGACACAACCAGAGTGCGATTTGCACAAGATGATGAGCTCGTATCCATGCTGGAGCCCGGTCCGACTTCACCCGTGCTGGCCGGCCAGCGCCGCGGGCGGCAGGGCACGAGTCCGTGGCACGTGAGCCGAGGCATCCGCGGGTTAGGTAACGGCTGACCTTGCCGGGAGCTGACCGGGAGGACAGGCTCCTGTGCTCACAAATAAACACTTCCTGATGGCTTTTCTCCCCTCGGCGCGGCGCCGCTATTCACGAAACATAAACAGCAAGAATCCCGCCGTCGAATTAGCAAAGCATAATTTCTTACCGTGCATTGGTTTTACACTGTGACTTATGGCGTCGAATGATACTGAGTGCATCAAAGGAAAATGATTCGGTAACAGCGACGATGTTGACGACGGCCCCAGGACGCTGGACGTGATCCTAGAGAACAACTAGCTACAGCGCCGAGCATGCGCCGGGAGGTGAGGTCGACGGGATGGGTGGGGGGTGGGGGGATGGTATAAGCGGACCGAGCCCCATTGACGCACTGCGGACAGTCAAACAGACTCAACAGACTTTACAAACAACGCTAACCGTTACAGCACCTAGCCTATCAATGAGCCATCGGTGTTGAGCCCATCGGCTGCGGTGCTCTGCATGTCACAGCCCATTTAAGTATCTGTTATATTATTTATTTACATTAAGTTCGGTTATTAACATTTATTACTATATATTGGTGCATAATGCTACATTTTGGTATAACAACCAAAATATTTTTCCTGATCGCCAGATTCCGGGGTGATGTACCGTAGCGTCGTGAAGAAAAGCTGCACACGAATCCAATTGCACAGAAGCTAAAGCGCCATGCCCCCCCCCCCCCCTCCTTGGCTGCGCCACTGCCTGCGCCAAGCGTCTGAGCTGACCTGTGACCTCTGACCGGTAGGTCACCGGAGGGCTCCAGCACGGGCAGCTCGCGAGACCCGTCACCGAACTCGTCCGTACGGCGCCAGTCTACCACCGAAGAGATCCTCATTGCCAAGGTGCGTCTCTGCTGGCGGCCGGCGGTCGAGTCGCGATCAATGGCCGGCGTCACGGCACGCCGTTACCCGGACAGGCGATGTGTGGACATTTTGCTCGGAATGGGTGCTGCCGTCTGCAATATTCAGCCATTGTCTGGGGCGGGCGTCTGTTAGATGGAAGCCGAGGCGCTGGACGCACGCTCGCTCCTACCGGTGCGTCAGAGGTCTAGCAATTGCCCGGAACGATACATGCTAACTTTGTTACGGCCGCGTTGTGGCCCGATGTGACTACATCGGCACTTACCATGTACAGCAACGCTCAGTTCCCCAACTTGTCCACAGCGGACTGGCTTAAAGGGAGTGTTCCACATTTATGTGGGGGTTCTAATTGAAATGGCCAACTTGAAGACCTTTTGGTGCAGTTCGCGGCCCTGCCCTTCTTGAGACCTGAACCCCTCCGGTTTCTGAGCCACACGGTTGCGAAAATGAGGCAGTATTTCGAGGTCGGCTTAGCATTCATGACGTCATAATAATATCATTCAAACCCTGGCGCTCCATAAGTCATGCGGCGATTAAGGCCGAGAAACAAATGTTATACCGAGTTGTTCACATCTGGCGTTCGTACGCATAATGTCTAGATGTTACGGTCGTCAATGGGCTCTCTGTCAATATTGTTCAAGGTTCCATAACGAAATAAAGCAATGACCTATTGAGAACCATACATACTAAACAGCGAGTTGTGTTGTCTAGAACAGTATTTTGTACTTAAAAGTATGCTAATAGTTATAAGTGAGCTCGTTTCATCATATCTGATGCTTGCCTCAGTATTTTCAAGTTTGAAGAACTTACGATCAAAATCTCCGTATAAGTTATAAAGATCCACGTCGTTCCGATCAGGGTCATCCATCCTGTAGAATTGCCGAAACGTGGGTGAGGGCGAAACGCTCTGGCTACTTACCCAATATCTCTCTTATCGTAGAAAATGATTAAGTCCATTTGTTTAGACTGGTTGTCGTCTCTTTGATTTGTTATTTAGGGTACCATGGCGTTATCGGCCCTTGACCTTTGAACTTGATCCCGAAGGGCAGCATCTGTCAACGTACTTCAAGCTCATGATAACCTTGGTGATAACTGCCTTTGCGCGAAATTGCATCATTATTGGTCATGTTTCAGCTCGATATGAATACGTCACTAATTTCACCACACGGCTCCACCGCTACATTTCCTGCCGATTGTTGCAAATAGCAGCGCAGTCACGGAGGTGATAACACACACACACACACACACAACCACACACACACACACACACACACACACACACACACACCCACACACACACACACACACACACACACACACACACACACACACACACACACCCACCACCACAACACACCACACACATATATATATATATATATATATATATATATATATATATATATAATATATAGAAAGAGAGAGAGAGAGAGAGAGAGAGAGAGAGAGAGAGAGAGAGAGAGAGAGAGAGAGAGAGAAGAGAGAAGAGTAGAGAGAAGAGAAGAGAGGAGAGAGAGAGAGAGAGAAGGAGAGAGATAGATATAGAGAGAGAGGAGAGGAGAACGAGAGAGGAGAGGAGATATAGGGCGAGAGGAGGAGAGAGAGAGAGAGGAGAGAAGATGAGAGAGAGAGATGAGAGAGAGAGAGAGAGGGGAGAGAGATGTGTATATATATATATATATATATATATATATATATATATAACATGCATATATATATATATATATAACATGTATATATATAACATGTATTTTGTAATGCATCGGGTGCGGGGTTATGTAATCCGTGTAATGAGAGCCCATTCCAATAAAATACCTTATGTGTCAACTGCACCTGAGATTTATTTAGTTCTACCCGATATTGTAGTGGCATTCTGTGCATGCTGCCAGAGACTGAGGTGTTTCAGTTGTCAGTGATGCCAAACCTTAGCCGCTACACACTGCTATGAGTCGGTCAGCGCGTTTCAAACATTTCCTTCATAATTGGACACCGGGTAGGGCGCTGGTGGTGGCAGTTATGCTTGCACAGAGATGCTGTAGTTCGCTACGTTGAACATCGTTATTAGACGAAAAATTTGAATAAAATTGTTAACCCATTGACATACTTCGTGGCGTAGTTGCACTTGCTAGTTTCACGTGGTAGATAATCTCGCGTTTGTTGCAGAGTTTATGTGATGTCCTTTAAATGTAGCGCTCTCCCATTGACATCCAGCAAATTTTCGGTTTAAATAGGATGGCTTAGCTCATTAGTTCCTAAAAAGTTCATCGGAGAGAATTCGACGCATCAGTCGCACTTCCGCTCTCTTTCAGTGTAAGACTGACATTCTCAGTGAAAGGTATCAACTAAATCTTCAAATATTCAGGCAGTGGGCAGCACGTCGAGTTCAATGCCGCCATGCCATTGTTTGTGTATTTTGCTCGCGTGGCGTGGATGCGGTCGACGGCGTTAAAGTTGGTGTTCCACATTTGAATATATTGAAACGAGCATGATATGTGCTGAAATAAGTTTGAATATAACTATTGGTATGCTTTGAAGTGGAAAAGGCTGCTCTAGACGGAACAGTTTCTCTGTTTAGTACATATCCTCATTAATAGGTTGCTTTTTATTGCGTCATCGTACCTTGTTCAACATTGGTTGGAGCCGGCTGACGGCCGTTATACCTGGAAATCGTGCTAAGGAACGTCAGCTAAGAACGACTCGACAATTATATTGTCTTGGCCTTGATTGCCGCATGACACAAATGAACGGCACAATTTGAATGGCGTCATGACGTCATCAAGAAAGGTGACCTTGAAATAAACTCCCTGAAAGTCTGAACATCTCCGCAGGGGTGTAGCTGAGAAATTAGAGGCGTTTAGGTCTTAAGAAGAGCGAGGCTGTGAACTGCGCCGATTGATCTTCAAGGTGGCTGTTTCAGTTCAAATCCCCATACAAATGTAAAACACACCCTTTGAGAAACAACAGTCTTCCAGTGATTCTGCGCCGGCATTCAATATCCCAGTGCCGTGCCATCTGGCTGTGGGCGGCGCCGGTAGGCCAGCGCCGTCAGCGCCGCGCCACCTCAGCCCAGTGCCGTGCCACTTGGCTGTGGGCGGCGCCGGTCGGCCAGCGCCGTCAGCGCCGCGCCACCTCAGCCCAGTGCCGTGCCATCTGGCTGTGGGCGGCGCCGGTAGGCCAGCGCCGTCAGCGCTGCGCCACCTCAGCCCAGTGCCGTGCCACTTAACTGTGAGCGGCGCCGGTTGGCCAGTGCCGTCAGCGCCGCGCCACCTCAGCCCAGTGCCGTGCCATCTGGCTGTGAGCGGCGCCGGTCGGCCAGCGCCGTCAGCGCTGCGCCGCTTTAGACGATGTTCTGGTGGCAGGGCTTCCGCCGTCAGTCCACCACCGAGGACATCCTGCGCTGCCGCAACTTCCGTCGCCAGTCAACGCTGCTGGACGAGCTGACGCGCTCGCGCGGCCGCCGAGACTCGGCCACCCAGATCCTGGACGGTACAGTGGCCACGATGACCGTGGAGGCCGCCAATGTGTTCTACGACACATCCACGCAGACAGGTGAGGCTGGGTTGACGTCACTCAGCCCCAACCGCCGACTCTGATTGGCCGTCCGCTCATTGCGACGTCACAGGGTCTCGCTGCATGAATGTATCGTGGTCATCGGCGCGTGCATGCGTTGATGGCCCTCACTCCAGTGGCGGATTCGGAGGGAGAGGCCATGAGACCATTCTCCACTCCCCTTGGCCGAAGGGGTACCAAAATCTCGTAGTGAAGAGCGCCAAAATTCTCATTTAGGGTCCGCAGAACCTCTACTTTTAAGGCGCAGCAAACCTCAATGGCGCCACAAACGGCCCTAAATTTTAAAGGCAACCATACGAAAAACACATATAACTGGCCTCCAGAAGTAAAGTGGAGCAAATCCGGCGGACCATTTCCACGGAGGGCGTTTAACCGATGAAAAACAAAAATCTGAAAATAAGGTGGCCGATATTCAGGGACTTTTACGTGTGTGTGTGTGTCGAGTGGCTGGCACCAAGTTTCAGGGGGCGCGACAAAGAAGTATGGCCTCTCTCTTGACGAAATCCTGGATCCGCCCCTGCCTTGCTCGCTCCATTGCGGAGCAAGCGCAAAAGCAGCACCAGAGTTGGCGGCAGCGGTGTGGGCTGTCAGGACGAGGCGTCGTATCACCCCATGTGTCATGCCTGCCATGTGGTGATAGCCTGTTGGTGTTCTTGCACCATTCTGGCCTGGGGATGTTGTGGCGTGTGAACGCATTGCGGCGCTGGCAAGCGTTTCTCCCGGGCACCGCCCTGCGACGCTGAATGCGAAGCCATCTGTTCAGCGATGACACGCGCTAGGTTTCCGCAGGATGCTAAAATTATCCATTTGGAGCATTCACTCTGGCCTTTGGTGTTGCTGCCATTCTCATTAAGCTTAACTTTCGACGATTAATCTGTATTCTGCGTTCAAAGATTTCTGAGAAATGGCAAGTTATGATTTGCATCGAATGACTTTTGTAAATAAACTTATAAACATTAATAAATTAATTGTAAAGATATTTAAATAAATTTGCATGTAGTGATTTCCCCGCAAATAGTGCAGCTAGTTTTCAGGGATGCCAAAATAGCACAACGTGCTTTGTTACGCCATCACATGCAACGAAGATAAACAATCTTACAGATGCTGTGCGCCTTCACTGTCTACCACGCAGTTTAATCAGTTTCATTAACTGAGATGCGTCTGATGCTCTTCAAGCCTACATCTAACACATGGTACACAGAGCATGCGTTTGCATACTAACAGTGGTTACTGTCGGCGCGGAGCTCGAGAGCACCCTGTTCCGCCTCAGTACCGGAGGGTGCTGTAGGCACGGAGCTCGAGAGCACCGCGCCCCGCCTCAGTGCCGGAGGTACTGTAGGTGCGGAGCTCGAGAGCACCCCGCTCCGCCTCAGTGCCGGAAGCTACTGTAGGTGCGGAGCTCGAGAGCACCCCGTCCCACTTCAGTGCCGGAGAGTGAACTGCACTAATCACGAAGAGCATAGGGCAGATAGTGATCCTCGCATTGCCCCATATGTCACCGGAGTTATCCGATAACGATCGCATGGCCTCCCTCGGATCTCCGGACAATCTACGTCCAGAAGCGCTGGTAGTGTTTCTGACAGTAGTGACCACCATGATTTGTGACGAATGAGAGGGATATTTTTAACAAATGAGCCCAAGCCACCCTGCCTAAGTGCCTAAGCAAAACGAACAAATTAACAGGCCCCATAAATGCTATTGGGCACAGCATTTAGTACAGCAATGTGCTTTCGGTGTGAGTTTCCCCTGATATCTTAAACAATTGGTTCAGCTTTCTACGTACCATCCACTCGGCTATCACCCAATATTGTTACCAAGTTACGGCTGTTTGGCTCTGCATGTCACTGCCCATGGTAGTTTCTACGAGATTTAAAGCCAAGATAGCCTTTATGATCACCAGATTCCGAAATTATATTCAGTATTGTTGTGGTGAAAAAACTGCGCTCAAACGGGGGGGGGGCTAAAGGTTGATGACCCCCACCTCTTTTGGTTGTGCCACTGTCTGTGGCAGAAAATACGATGACTGTTAGGAGCCGGCCGTGCTCGACAGAGTAACCCGTTTTTTCAAAGTTTGTAAGGTTCTTTATTCGACGTCTGGTATATCCATATGGGCATCATGCCACTGAAGTGTACCCCCTGGAGGTGTAATGTTTTCAGAATATCAATAACATATCGGCATGTGTGGTGTATCGGAGTCTCAGAGCGAGGAGTTGGATTGATACGGTGGAAACATCGCCCCTTGGAGGGGGATTGAACGCATAAATTTAAATATAATGTGCAAGGTGTGATAGAGAAGTTACCTAGGCATGGGCGGCACACAACCAATGCACAGGTGTCAATTACTATTTTTGCCCCGGGAAGTGGAAAGAAACGTTCGTTAAAACTGATGCAGGCGTAAATAAAACAGGCAAGCGTTCGCTGGATTCCTTCGCGAAGCGGCGAAGCTTCTATGACGAGTTGTGTTGGCATTATTGCGGGATGCATTCAACACCATTCATAGGATTTCCTGGCCGACCTGATCTCTGGCTGTCACTATGCTTGGCAGGAGCAGGGTATGATGTGCTGACTACCAGGGACGGGGTTGGGTCAGGAAAACATACTTCATCAGTATGGCAATTTTCGCGCAGCAGCATCGATTGAATCGTTTGCAACGTTGACGTAAATTGGTGGGTGACATCCATCCTACACTCATCCTTTTTATACGCGTTTACATGCTGGGAGGAGGCTGTTTTAAATGCTGAAAGCCCTTTTATCTGTTTCAAGAATTAATTATAAACCCATGGATATAGCATTATATTAAACCTGAGATAAACGCTGATATGGTGCTTACAGATTTCGAATCACTTAAGCATGAGTCCAGGCTTACGGGGCACAGCAGAGGAGCAAAAACAAGTGATACTGATACATCATTTGGTGCCTTCTGTGCTGAGCAGGCGATCTTACGTATGCTTAGTAAGGCAAAATCGGCGATTGTCCAATTTTCAAATCTTGCTGTCCAGATTCCCAACGCGCTGGAGCGTTGAAGTGCAGTCCAAAAGTTCAAGGAAACCCCACCCGTTACCACGCCAAATTTCGTTAAGTTTGCCACCGTCAGTCGCCAATGCTGCTGTAATGTCTCTGCGCTGTAAGCCCTTTAACGACTCCAAAACCCACCCCGTGAGCCCAAATGGGTGTACTATTTCGCCGTCGCAGCGAGCTTCGCTGAAAATTTACGACATTTATTGGGGCCCTTATCGCACCCATTGCAAATTATTCTTCACTCGATATATGTGGTTTCTGTGACATCTCAAAGCGAGGAGTTCGGACAATGCATTGATCGTCACTATCGCTCACTTTTTCGTCGCGACGAATGGACGAATAAATGAATGAATGAATGAATGAATGACGGCTGCCGGACGCCGGCGACATGCGGCGCGCGCGTATTTCGTCATTTGACTTGAAATTCTCACCGGCGGCGACTAAGCGATCGACCGGTGGTATTTTGACGACGGAAAAACGTGGGCTTGCAACCTTTAAGATTTTTACGAAACAATGCCCAAAATGACGAATAAATGGGAGATAAATACAGGCAATGAATCGGTGCATGGTGCAATGCAAATTTCGCCACGCTCCAGGTTACAGTTTCAGCAACAGCGTGTTGTATTCAGCGCCGCTTTTTCGACATACCGACATTCCCGGCTTGCGCAACAATTACTGGCGCAACCGTGCGTCGCACAAACTCGTGTTAATCGGGTGGATGGCAGACAGTACGTTGTTCGACGCTTTGAAAGTGGCTTCAAGTCTCCACGTGCTCTGGCGGCCGAGCTGTGGTAAAACACGTGAAAAGCGTAAAAACCGACAATCCATGCTGCCCACCTCTGTGCACGCGACATGTGACTCGTGCTACTGCACACCTGGCGCCACCGATTGGCTGCTCAACTATTTACTGAGCTCTGCCAATTTCTTTTTATGTAAATGCCTCCTTGGAGGCATGTAAATTCTGCACCACATAAGTGCGTTTCAGTTGGTTTGGTCTGCTTTCAGGACTTCTGCTCTCCGACTCTGCTAAAAGCACACCAGTTCTAAAACCATGTCCAAACGAACGCCGTTCACAAGTTCTCGAAGCCATCCTCATCAGAGGAAGAACGCATGCTTTAAACAAACAGCTTAAGTCATTCATCACCTTTGGACCCGCTCAGTCACATAACTAAAGCATGGTCACTCGATGCTTTGAACTTTCCATGGTGTCGGAGTGTGTGAAAAAGTGATGTGCGTGTGCCTGAATGTGTTCTGAAGTTGACTCGATCGGATGCATATCAGTTAACTGATGGGTCACCTTTAATGATATCTCTTAAAGCATGCGTCGAACCTCGCCATATTTGAATTTTTTCCATCCGACTGTACCTAATTTTCGATGTATATATATCGTTTGGATATGAGTCTCGTTATGTTTGAACAGCGCGTGGAACTACTGTTACAAATCTATGTATGAATCTTAGCTTGACCTGTGCATTTCCATGATGGTTTTAGCGGTTTTCTTGGCTGCCAGGAATGCAAAGACCATGATGAGTAACGTGACCATACGTCAAGTACATCCAAGGAAATTTTTTGTTCACAGACATGTCCTCATAAGAACATGCTGGGCGCCTTGTGAAAGCGACCTGTTCCACGAAAGCACCATATCGGTTCAATCAGGATGAGGATATGATTCTGTATTGCTGGGCCTTGATACCACTGGAACAAGTCCGGTTGCTAAGCCGAAGTTCGGTTGAGTTCATAAACAGCATTCAGTCTAATAAATTAATCAGCTTTTCCCCTTATTCCCTGAAAAAAGATAGGAGCGGTATTACGAGAACAGTTCGTCGCGCCTTTTTTCTTGCGAAGGAACTTTTAGCTGTGTGCTTTATGTTGATTTTGGTTGTGGAACCAGACCAGACATTGCGCAGGACCAGGAATTCGGAATCAGCATCTCCGATTGAGGAAACAAATGGCGCCCTCGG